AGAGAGAGAGAGAGAGAGAGAGAGAGAGAGAGAGAGAGAGAGAGAGACAGACAGAGAGACAGAGAGACAGAGAGAGAGAGGAGGGAAGGAGACTCTCAAGATTAAATAAAGACGTTCTCTACCATCAGGTGCTGACGGAGCGGGTGGTGTGTGAAGTCCGGGCGTTGGCCGTGTTGCCGACCAAAGAGCTCGCCCAGCAGGTCAGAACCTTTCAAAACAAAAGTCTGGATATAACATAATCCAGTAATGTTTAGGTCTGTAGATTGAACACGTTCTTCCTGTACAGGTTTGCAAAGTGTTCACATCATACGCTGAGGGCAGCTCTCTGAAAGTGGTGATGGTGGCTGGTCAGAAGTCTTTTGCTGCAGAGCAGGCTTCACTCTCAGAACTCAGGTGAGCTGCTTCCGGTTGAAAGTTGTATTTAAATTAAGAAGTATTTTTTCCATGATGGCAGATGGTTGTCTTTCTCTTTACCACCACCAGGGGGCACCAACACTTTGCATTAGGAGAATGATTGAACACATAGTAATGAATAAATATCAGATCAGGACGTGGTATTTGTACAATACTCACTATAGTTTATTTTTCTTCCAGAGGGGGCATGAGACGCAGTTTAGCCGACATTGTTGTTGCCACTCCGGGTCGACTGGTCGATCACATCAACAAGAACTCAGGCTTCAGTCTGGAACACCTTAGGTTTCTTGTGAGTTCTTAAAACATGCGCAACTAAAACCAATAGCAGAAATACGTGACATTGTCCACCATCTACCATTGGTGTGCTTTCGTTCTCTCATCCCTTCCAGATTATTGACGAGGCTGACAGGATGATTGACAGCATGCACCAGTCTTGGCTCAGTCAGGTGGTGAAGGCGGTGTACAGATCAGGTGGCGGTGCAGAAGTCGGGTCCATCTTCAGGCGGACTGAGCCAGCGTACGTCACAGCAGCCAGGTGAGTCTGTGTTTCACACCTGAAGTCTCTTTTCAGTGGATAAAGAAGTAAGAGTTTTGTTTTATTCAGAACACTACAGTATATACCTGATGTTTAACTGTTCAACATTTTATTAAAGGAAAAGTTCAAAAATGATATGAAATATATATCGTCTTTCCGAGTGTGAGATAAGAAGATTGATATGAAATGTATGTCTGTGTGTTCAGTACAGAGCTGGAGTCAGGGCGCGGTTAGCCTAGCTTAGCATAAAGACTGGAAGCAGGGGTTTATAGCTAGCCTGGCTCGGTATATTGGACCGATGCATCAGTATCAATTTGAGACTGTTTCATAACCAGTTGAAAGTTCTTCACAGTAACTTAAATATAGCTAAATAAAAACATCATTCATTATCCGTGTCCCCTCTCAGTCTGTCTCCGCCTCAGATGCCGCTGCAGAAGCTGCTGTTTTCTGCCACACTGACACAGAACCCGGAGAAGCTTCAGCAGCTGGGCCTCCACCAGCCCCGACTCTTCAGCTCCATCCACAGTCACTCCAGCTCCACCACACCGGCAGCCCTCACCCAGACACAGGGCGGCTTTGACTTCCCCCAAGGTCTGACGGTAAGAGATGACCGTTTGCCTTCAGGAAGGAGGCGCTGTACCGTCGGACAAACATGATTGAACTTCAGCTCACTTCGTTAATGGCTGCACCTTTTTTTTTGTATGTGTTTAGGAGTATTACGTTCCCTGTACGTTAAGCAAGAAGCCCCTCCTCATCCTCCACTTCATCCTGCGCATGAAGCTCAGCCCCGTCCTCTGTTTCACCAACTCCAGAGAGACCGCACACAGGTCGGAGACGGCAACACTGTTACAATATATATATATACATATATACATATATATATATATATATATATACATATATATATATTGTACCTGTTCAGCGTGGCCTTACTGGTTCATTTTTCTTCCTCCTCAGACTTTATCTGCTGGTGCATCTCTTCGGTGGAGTTCAGGCCGCTGAGTTCTCCTCCCGGCTCTCTCCCGCTGAGAGGAAGAAGACGCTGAAGGAGTTTGAACAAGGAAAGATCCAACTGTGAGTCTTGAATGCACACAGTTGTGTTGGAGAATAAGCGACAAACCAAAGTAATGAAAAATCAGCTCCGGCACACTGTCAACAGTTACGATACGTCTTTTATGAGTGTCTGTGTTCCAGTACAGCAAACTTCATCAGGCATTTCATTTCAAGTCCATCTATATACTGAACATACTTTAGAAAGATAAAACACAAGTCATCTATTATCCAAAACAACAGTCAGAAAAAATAGCAATTTACACACAAGACAGCAAATTCACAAGCATGAAAGTTTGTGTCGCCTTACATTATAAATATTTACCAACTGTAAAACTCCCGCTGTTGTTACTATGTGCTTTATGTAACGGTAGAGAAAGAGTCAAGCAGTGTATCCATAGAGTAGTCATCATGATCATAGACCTAATGAAGGGAATATATACAGTATATATTATTCTCTTAATGTATATTTATTCATTTATATATTTATTGACTGAGCCAGTTGTGAGTTCCTGCAGTGGGCGCTTTAATGAGCAATGAATCAAACTAAAACCTGCAGGTTGATCAGCACAGACGCAGCTGCCAGAGGCATCGACATCAACGGGGTCAAATGTGTTGTGAATTACGACGCGCCGCAGTACATCCGGACGTACATTCACAGGTGAGCCGTCCAATATCCATGTTGCGTGTTGTAGCTCCATCATATGTTCTGACTGAGACTTTGTCCCTTTTTATTTTTCAGGATTGGAAGAACAGCAAGAGCAGGGAAACCCGGCCTGGCCTTCACCTTTCTGCTGGGCGTACAGGTGGAGCTCTTCTACAGACAAGCATGATTAAATATGGATGATAGAGTATGAACAGCATAAACAGGATGTAAAGATGCTATAAAACAATATTTTTTTTCTCGTCCCACTCAGGAGAAGAACTTCCTTCAGATGGTGGTGGAAGCAGGAACCCCCGGGATTCAAAAGCAGATCGTTAAACCAGAGAACCTGAAGGGTATGGAGGCCCGATATGAACAAACTCTGCAGGAGCTGGCCAACGCCATCAAGGTACCATCTCAAACACATTCATTAAATGTTGAAACGGACTGAATGTGCATGGTTTCAAGGGTTTCTGTGCATATCTGGTCGTTGTGTTATTAAAACTGAACTCTCCTTCAATCATTTATGTCAATGAATTTGTCATTTTCAATGTGACACTTAAAGTTACCGCGAGGAACTTTTAACTGGTTATGAAACAGTTTAAGTTGAACACCGGTGCCTCTAAATGATCTGCAGAAGTGAATGAGACATTTAGCGAGATTAAGTATTTCTATAAAGTTATTGTTAATGCTCGTCATCGGTTTGGATTCTGGTGAAATCAGTCAAATTAGAGTTTTTTTTAAAGGGACTCTGGTGATCTGAAACACTCCCACTTTAGTCCACAGGGACCACCAAAATAGACACAAAATGAAAGTTCCTCGTAGTAACTTTAAGCTATTGTTACCATCTTCCACCTCCTGAAAACTAACTAGTTTTAGTCATTTTCATGCAAATCTCAACCAACAAAAAGACAACGTTCACCTGAAAGCTTTGATATGAAAGACTGTCGGCCTTTTGTTTGTCTCTACAGGACGAGAGAGCCAAATAACGGAGCAACACCGAATGATCCTTCTCCGAGCGGACGTCTGTGCTTCACGAAGAACACATTTCATTTTGTGTTTCAGCTGTACTTGGAGTTTTTTATGTTGTTTAATAAAACATAAATTGTCTGTGTGTGGTGCAGCTGGTGATTTAAGTGCCACAGTGCCAGTTCTCAATGTCCATTTCCTTTAAGTGAGGTAATGATTGAAGTGGATAATGCATTATTTACAAAACGTGAACATTAGTTTAGCTATCCTTCACATCAGTCCGTCTGTCTCTTAAATATAAGGAGTGGTCAGTGTTTTAGGGCCAAAACTACTCTAATAAATACATCATAAATAATCATATTCATGAATTCAGAAACTATATTTATCCAACAGATCAAGGAAACATCTTCAAATGTCTTTCTTCACATCAGGTCTGCTTTGAGTTTGCTCAAAATTCAGTTATTTTTAGAGATTGCAGAAGTTTAATGGAAGCATTTAGAGAAAAGTTTGACACGGTTCCTTTTTTCAATCCAGTTTTAATTTACTCTGTCCTTATAACACACACACACACACACACACACACACACAGCATTATAGAACATGTTCTCATAGAAGAGGTTCTCATAGAACGTGTCGTGCCATCAGTCCCATTTGGAAGTCTTCCTCCTCATGTATTTGTCTCCTTCGCTGTCGACTGCCTCGTACAGCTGCTGGTCGTTTTCTTTCGTTGCGTGCATGTAGCCCAGGTAGCCCACACACAAGGTGATGCTCACCAGTCCGAACGCCATCACGGGTTTGTTCTGCAAAACAACACAGCTTTACGTTACAGAGAAGGTCTTTGGAGGACATTTTATCCAGCAGCAGGTGAACTGTCTCGTTCTGAGTGAGGAAAAATCATTTAAAAAAAACACTTTCTAAATAATAAACAGGTGCCAAGTATCGTTTAAAGATGTCTAAAGAGAATGCCACTGTTTACGTCTGAAACTCTTGATCATTGTCAAACATGGACTAAACCTGTACTTTTAAGTTTTTTAACTTTCAGTTATCTCCAAAACTGTACACGTCAAAACAAGTTACACATTACAGATACAGAGACAAGTTCCAACAGTTATTTGGAACTTGTTAAAACACATTTTTACAGACTGGCTTTTATGTGATGTCGTCTGTTTTATTTTTATTTGCTGATTTTACTAAATATATATAGATATTTTATTTCAATCGTATCAACTGTCTCACTGAGCTTTCTGTTATTGTTATTGTCTTGCTTTTGCTTCTTTGTCTGTCAAAGCACTTTGTAAACTGTTTTTAAACGTGCTATATAAATAAAGTTATTATTATTATTATTTGGCTTAATGACAGTTTGAGTCTCACCGGTTTCATGAAGAGTTCAGGATTGAAAGCTCTGAACAGGGTCGTGGTCTGTGCGCCTCTCAGTCCGGGGGTCCGGAAACCTTTCTCCCCGGGACTCTCCTTCCCTTGACCGACGTCTTTATCCGCCATGTCCGGTCAAAACCTATGAACCGCGGCTCTTTAGAGAAATGTTATGAAAACGAAGCTCGGTAAATGAACATTGCAGACCTTCTTGGTCCTTTGGTCTATGCTGTCTACCTTAAAGCGTAGCCATGTTTTCAAAGTCAACGATGGAGACGAGATTAAAGAAGAAGAGGAGGAGAGTGAGGACTTAAAATATCACAGCGCCTCTGGTGGTTGTGAGCGGAAATTCATTCATTCTTCTTCTTCTTCTTCTTCTTCTTCTTCTTCTTCTTCTTCAAGAATTTTATTTCATTTTATTTCATGTTATTTCATTTTATTTCATTTTATTTCATTTCATTTTTTATTATTTTTTTATTTATTTTTTTACTAGACATCCTGATCCACACTCCATACCAGTTGGTGGCGGTAATACGCCAATTCATTGTTTGCCAACCGCAAATAAACCTCTAAAAAGAAGAAGAAGAAGATGGTTCAGGCTTTACAGGGTTAGGACTTCCTGTTGGAACTTTTACTTTGAAGGACAGATCGGCTGCGTTTTGATTGGTTGGATTCTTGACGTCTTCACGAACAACGTCATCACGTTTTGTTTGTGTGTCGCGCGGGAGCTTTTTGCTTATCAAACAGTCGAGTTCGAGAGAAACTAGCTAGAAGACAGACAGCAGGTAGGTTAAGCGAGTCCTGCGTCTTTATCAAATGAAAACTTGTATATTATATTATTAGAAACCACAGGTAAGATACACGTGACGTAGTTAACTTGTCGGTTTATCTGCTGGTTTGGGCGGTTTAACGCTGCTGAAAAGAAGCGAACTAATGCGAAAACAGCGCTAATGCTAACAAGCTAACGGTAAAGCAATAACAGGGTTAAAGCCATACCGGTTGTGTATTGGTTTCACCGGGTACGTTAAATTACCAGCACATGTCACGGAATTATGACAACCAGACGCTTGCTCGTTATAGTTAAGACACCACCATGATTATCTGTCACACAGCCCTCCTGTCTCCTCTCTGTTGACCAGGTTTCTTCACACTCAGACCATGGCTATGAGGAGCGAGGCCAGGGTGGAGACAGAGGTGGAGGAGGAAGAAAGCTTCGGCCCACAGCCTCTGAGCAGACTGGAGGTGTGTATATCTCACTTTGTACAACTGTAATCGCCCATGTTCTGCCTGAGTGGGGCTTTGGTTTTGGGGAGAAACGTTTTTGACCCACTTTCCTTGGTCAGGGCCACTAGCAGGACTGTTCCTAAAACCCAACAACGTTTTGCGGTCTTCTCTCTCCCTGTGGATTCATGTTGAGCTGTCTCTTGTTCTCCGCATACAGCAATGTGGGGTCGGTGCCAGCGACATCAAGAAGCTGGGCGACGCAGGTTTCCACACCATCGAGGCAGTGGCCTACGCACCCAAGAAGGAGCTGCTCAACATCAAAGGCATCAGTGAGGCCAAGGCTGACAAGATTCTAGTAAGAAACAACGATCTTCTTTCAGTGTCCCAGAAGAATGCATGAGTGCTGACTGGACTGTTCTGGTGTAGCGACCCCCCCTCTGTTACTCTACTGTGTTACTATTTCAAGTGTTGATATTCACTGTTATCAGCAGATATTTTAGTTCTAATGCACTGTATTTTATTTCTCCTTCCCTCCCAGGCTGAAGCTGCCAAACTTGTGCCGATGGGTTTCACCACAGCTACCGAGTTCCACCAGAGGAGAGCCGAGATCATCCAGATATCTACAGGCTCCAAGGAGCTCGACAAACTCCTGCAGGGTCCGTAAAACCCTGTGAACGATCCAAATATTGAGCCTGAGTGCACCATGCGGGGGGGAGACGTGAAGTTTATTGTTTAATTTTTGAGTTATTTGTTTCTCCTGCAGGTGGGATCGAGACCGGCTCCATCACAGAGATGTTCGGGGAGTTTCGGACGGGGAAGACCCAGCTGTGCCACACACTCGCTGTCACCTGTCAGGTAGAGACGGCCTCAGTGTAGAACAAAGTCAAATATGAGCCACGTACTGATGAAACACAAGATACAGAACAATGTGACACACCTGTTCTGGTTCTGGTTAACAGTGAGTGCTGCAGATTAAAAATGACTTTGTCCTTTCTGTCCACAGCTGCCCATTGATCAGGGGGGTGGAGAAGGTAAAGCCATGTACATCGACACAGAGGGAACCTTCAGACCAGAGAGACTCCTAGCTGTAGCTGAGAGGTGAGTCGACATGTGTATTTTTGGGACGTCCTTTCTGCATCCATGTTGTCCGTCTCTCATATGTTGCCGTCCTGCCTGTTGTGCATTTGGAAATGTAAAATAGGAGGAACTCTCCGTGTTTTCAGGTACGGGCTGGTGGGCAGTGACGTTCTGGACAACGTAGCCTACGCCCGAGCCTTCAACACAGACCATCAGACCCAGCTGCTGTACCAAGCCTCCGCTATGATGGCCGAGTCCAGGTCAGTCAGCACCAAAAGTCTCTACCGACAGAGTATTAACTTATCAGATGCATATTTGAGCCTCAACTCGTCTCTAAATAATAGATTTCTTGAGTACATTTTACCACTGAACACCTACTGTAGCATTAGCTGCTATATTTTTCCCATGTATTCCTGTATCAGCTTCTTGAATATGTCCAATGACCGCAGTTATTTGGAATGATGTTTCAGTGCGAGTAGGCAGGATAGTAGTGTGTATCTCTGCAGCTAACACAAACACACTCTCTCTCCCTCTCCCTCCCTGTGCGTCAGGTATGCCCTGCTGATAGTGGACAGCTCCACAGCTCTGTATAGAACAGACTACTCGGGCAGAGGTGAGCTGTCGGCCCGACAGGGACACCTGGGACGCTTCCTCCGCATGCTGCTCCGGCTGGCGGACGAGGTAGGCGGCTGTACTCCTAAGAGGTTGAGACGCGCTGGTTGTGTGATGATGTTTCTCGCTCCTGCTGTTTTAGGACCCGAGCGATAACTCAAAAGTGTGGGGAATTCCTCACTTTGATACTTGTTGTCTGTGTCCTGGAACGAGCTAGAGACATTTAAACTTTGCCCAATAACTGAAAATATTGTGCAAATGCTTCCCAAGAAATACGACTCCGACCGGCCACATGATGGCGCTGTAATCAATGCCCAAAAAATGGATTTTTTTTTTTTTTCCTGTATCAAAAGTATTTTTGTCTGCCTCAACCCTTTGTCACGACAGTTCGGCGTTGCAGTGGTGATTTCCAACCAGGTGGTGGCGCAGGTGGATGGGGCAGCCATGTTTTCCGCAGATCCCAAGAAACCGATCGGGGGAAACATTATGGCTCACGCCTCCACCACACGGTGAGTGATGCACTGAGTGTTTGGACACTTTAAATAGAGATGAGTGGGTACGAGAAGAGGTCACGGCTGCAGCTTCATGACACCAGGACTTCTATGGACCTCATGCAAGAACATTTTGGTGTTCTGATCTTGAAACTGGAGATTGAGACCATAAACTCATGTTTACAATGTTTACTGAGGTAATAAATCAAGAGAGTAGAGTCATTTTCTCATAGACTTCTATACAACCAGAGGCGTCGCCCCCTGGTGGTCAGTAGAGAGAATGCAAGTTTTAAAACTTCGGCGTCGGCTTCACTCGGCAGAACCAGAGGTCACCTCCTGCATGATATGAATGGTCGTTAGTAGCTGACATAAGCACACGTCTTATGTCTTACAGGAAGAAAATGATTTTAATATAAAAGTAGATTATTTGTAATTTATTTGGCATATTGTAGCTGCACAGTATGGGATGTGATCTAAAAGTGTTAAAACTGCATTTTTCATCTCGACTTAAAGAACAAGTGTTAGTACGAGTTGTGACGCTACGATTAAAAAGTCTGTTTTTTGCAGTCTGTACCTGAGGAAAGGCCGAGGAGAGACGAGGATCTGTAAAATCTACGACTCGCCCTGCCTGCCGGAGTCTGAAGCCATGTTTGCCATCAACGCTGACGGAGTGGGCGACGCCAAGGACTGAGCTGACGGAGAGGCAGGGAGCAGGGTGGTAAATGTTACCGTCACACCGGCTGACTCAATCCCGGACTAAAGTGTTGTGTGTGTGTATGCGCGACCTTCACACAGAGCCTCGGACTGATGGGTGACCCAGAGACGGACGTTGTATGATTTGATGCTGATTGAGGCAGAGAGGATAAGAAGGTCCAGGCTGCAGGACCTGGAGCAGCAAGATGGAATGTTTCCTTTTCTTTCACACCGACGCACATTTCACTCAACAAAGGGAAAAGAAAAGTTTTCCTGCAACTGTGACATAGTAATACAAGATCTGTTATTCTATGAGATACTACTTCATAATTACAAGATCGGTATCTCAATAAGTTATAATTAGAAATATGGTCTTTTTTTATTTCTTTGTTGGGTGCAATGCATCTCTTGAGTTGCCTTGAGTGGTCAAAAAAATTATTTGAGAAAACTATTTTTAATAGTTTGATCTTTTTTTGAAGCTTAGTCTTCAAGTTTCTGTTGAATGTTTTCGTTTTTAAGTGTTTTCTGAGAATAGTTATTTTACTTTGTCGTGTCACTTCCTTCACTACTGGTTTGTCCCTTTGTGTTCGTCTTCACCACAACCTTCTGTATATAAGTGTCGTGGCTAAATTAAACTTGTTTTACCATTAAACTGACTTCTCATTTGTGAGACATGAATCCAAAAAACATCATTTTATTCAATGTTATCCATGTGTCACATAAGTGCATATTTTTTATTTCAGGATCAAATGAATCAGCAAAATCAACCTCAACAAGAAAAGTGATGTTAGATCAAAGTAATAACCTGCAGCTTAACTTTCACTTCAGACGACAGGAATGTAAAACCACTCAAAGCAAAGATACTCGACACAAAGTAAAGTACGAATATTGTCAGTCACAAACCAAAGAATGTAGTTCAGTACAGTCGCTTTAAACTAAATGATCTATTTCAGTGATTTAAGTTGGAGCTTAACTGAAAAAAACGTATATATTCAGATCAAAAATACTAGTGTTACTACATCTACATTAATAAAGTCATTTATCTTCACAGAAATGCATCAAAGGATTTGATGGACCCATCAGAACAATATTAGAATGAAGTGTGTACAATACAAATAAATTAAGTTAAATAGGTTTATTTTTATAGTGCTTCCCTTCACGTAAAGCTCTCAGAACATCCCTGATTAAACAGGACGCGGTGTCCAGATAACTCTTCCAAAAATCAAACAGAATAAAAGATCCTCCCTGTCGGGGTGTCGAGCCATGCAGAGTTTTGAGATATCAGTCTGAAATAAAACCATCTGCACATTAGAGAGAAGTGCTCAGATAGGATTATGTCATTTGGGAAATGGATCCTTTAAAAAAAAAATATCAGTTAAAAAGGCAAACAAATAGAAAACAAAGAAACATCAAGATATATAACTTTTAGCGATATTTGCTCAATTGTTAAAGAAAATAAATATACATCAATAAACTCCATATTTCACAGTGACAAAAGTATCCACCAATGAAGGGAAAAGAGATCCGATTGGATGACCACAGATTGGCGGCCTGACTAGCCAATCGGTGCCATCGGCTGGATCTCAGTAGAATTCTTCTTTTCTTCAGATTTTTCTGTCAGTTAAGACTCTCAGCTGAGCCTCCAGTTCAGACGTTTCATCCTTAGAAATACAGAAAAGGCAACAATGAAACATGCACATAGTAATCTACACAACTCTAAATACTGAAAGCGGTGAACAGAAATACATTTCTGGTGATTTGTCATGTGTTAAACTGGATGCTCTTACATCATCAGAGTTTGTGGGCGTCTTCAGAGCCAGCTCAGTCCAGTTTGTGGCCTCCGAGATGTTTCCCAGCTTCTGGTGACACTAAAAGTCAAACAACATGAATAAAAACCAGCTGGCATGAAACACAAATTTAAAATCCTTTTGTTTGCTTGTATGCCTAAGATGTGTACGTGAATGGCTCAGTGTTAAGAACCGTGTTAATACGACATTCTGAGCATTCATACTGTAAAGAAATGTACAACTGGTGGAGAACGTTGTGGAAAATGTTTGAAAACCGTCACAAATGTTGATGCTAACTGCCGAGGTTGGCCTACAAAAATACGTCTTCCCTGCAGCACTCTATTCCTGAAAGGTGAAGTCACGCTGATCGTTACTACACTGTGTACTCAATAATCACACACTCTATTGGACGGTCGATGAAAAACACGGAGGGATCGTTTACCTGAGCGATGTGAAGTCTCACTGTCTTGGAGAAAGCTGGACTGAGTTCCTCTGCCTGGAAGACAAATATTGTAGATATGAAACATTCACTTCTACAATCACAAAATGAAAAGCCCAAGGAAAACAAAACCACGTTTGCCACTCATTTTTCTCAAAGCATCGTGGGTAAGAGGCTGCCAAGGTTATTGAGTTATTAGTGTGTAGATATTTGGCGCCATCTAGCGGTGAGGTTGCAGATTGCAACCAACTGAAACTTTAAGCTCCATTTTATGAGAGGATATTTTGGATGTGTGACTTCAGCCCACTACTCTGAGCTGATTCGTGTTTCCCTTTGTTTCGTCTCCAGCTAAAGTTTAGTTTATACTCGGCGTAGTGAAGCCCGGCTCGAGGTGCGCGCGCCAGAAAACAACATAACTTACCGCCTGTGCCTCGTGCGAGAATGCTCCGCTAGTGGTGACGAAGCTCGGCTTGTACCTCTGAATTATTTTTTATACTAAGTGTTAGCTGCATGCAAAATCAGATCTCTTCAGACGTGACTGTCACAAATAGTTCACTGCTAAAAGCACTATTTACATATCTGAGGATTGAGTATAAACGCCTTTGTGCGTGCTCGTGGCTTCCACGCATATTAACGAAGCTAAACACTGAGACGTAATTATGACGTTGGTTGTAAAAGGGTTCACACTACATATGGAGTAGACGTCTAACATGTAAAATTAAGAGTGCAGAAATGTCTCGTCAGCTACAGAACTCTGGTACCTTGAGGAAGTTCTCGAGCGCGTCAAGCAGTGTGGCGGTGGGGGGGCTCTGGTAGAGGGCAGCGGCCGCCTTCTTCTCCAACCAGTCCAGAGTGGCTACCTGCACAGACACAAACACCTGAAAACTCCCAGAGTCGTGGCCCGAATAAAGTACGAGTGTGGCCATTTGGAATGAGTATAAACACGCCCAGCCCCTTCTCTCACCTCGTAGCACCATCTGCCAAGCAAGTAGTAACACATGGGGTCATCATCTCTGAGGGCGATTGCTCGGTCCAGATGCTCCTGGATGGAGATTTAAAAAACAAAAAAACTCATATAAAAAAAAAGGTACAAGCAACAAAAACCATTGCAGACTCTCAACGTCCACTCTTCTCTGAATATGAACCTGAAGAAGATTAATCGCAAAACCAAACATCTGAAGCTGTCATTTGTTCCAGACTCCATCAAGCTGCTGAACGCAAACAAATCTTGCAGTAAATACACAAGCACCTTACTCTGCCTTGTTGTCAATATAAGTTAGTCAGTCAGCAAGCATGTCAGTCAGCAAGCATGTCAGTCAGCAAGCATGTCAGTCAGCAAGCATGTCAGTCAGCAAGCATGTCAGTCAGCAAGCATGTCAGTAAGTAAGTGCCTGTGTTACCTTTATTGCGCGTTACCTTTAATATGTTGCTGCTCTTTAGTTTGCCATGCATGCTCCCATGCTTGGAGGTCAGTTCTGTCAACACAGCAAACCTGGAGCCAAAGAAAAACTTCAATCAGAATCGTGACATCAAAATACGAATCGTTTGCAGCAATAATAGAAGTGGTTGAAATCCAGAATGCTATCTCACCATTTGTGACACTCGGCGTTAAGGCCGTTCTTCTTCAGGGCCGACTCTGCCTCCTCTTGACCTGTAACACCAGCTCACAGCTCAATGACAACAACTACAACAGTCATATGTTATACCACGATAAACTAAGGCAGAGACACAGTCAGTCGAGTTCTCTGTTTGAGTTGTAACTTCTTCATTGCAGGGTGTGTCTGGGTGTGTGTTTGTGTGTCCATCACCTTGCTGTGCGTAGCTCTTCTTCTCTTGTTTGTCCTCAGTGGACTCATACATATCACTGTAAGCCCGAGCCAGTCGCCACAGAAACTCCCTGCTGTCTCCATACTGCCGACACAGAATCAGTAGAAGCACCAGTCAGTGTCAGTGTCACCAGCAAATGTTTGGGCTCTTTAGTTGGTCAACAAGATCTGAAAATTCTTCAGGGGGCTGTATTTCATACCTACTTCATCTAAAATGATCTGTACTCTATATTCTATGATGATATTATTATTAGTAATAGTTTCAGTGTCCCTTACCTCTGCTCTGTTGTCCAGCAGCAGTTTAAAGCCCTCTGCCTTTAAACTGGCGTCTCCGGTGTGGAGGATGTCGCTCTGAGCCAGGAGGAGAGCCAGCTCCCCACTGGGGACTTCAGTCACCAGCTGCAGCCTCTCCTCCTCTTGCTCTTCCTCCTCCTCCTCCTCCGCCTCCTCCAGCAGCCCTCTCTCCTCCACTTCCTCCTCCTGGGAGTCTTCCTGGCGGAGCGTGAGGACGGTGGCACAGCTCTGGTCCTCGTCTTCCTCAGACTCCTGTTCGGGCTCCCGCTCGCCCTCCTCTTTGTCTGTGTCGCGATCAGTGTAGTCGGACTCCGCGTAGGCCGTCGAGTACCTGGGACGAGTTATTTATTCGCTGATTTAAATGATTATTATTTATCTCCGCCAGGAGGATCCATCGTGTGTGAATGAAATTGAGTGTGTTGCTCACACAGCATTGAAAAATTACATTTACAACATTCAACAGCAACATCACGTTCCAGAGTGAGTGTCACGTTTACTCTGGATAATCCACAGAGCTTATTCCTTGGTTGAAGCTAAGTGGTCTCTATGAAACTCTTTGTGTCTGACTTTGTGTCTCAGCATCAGTCTAAACCTGAAAGCCACACTTGGCACTATTTAGTTAACAGTCATTAATGGTTTTAGAGATTAACAGCAATTAACTAATGAAGCTTGTTAAGAAGCTTTTAAAAAAACAAACCTAGATATCAGCTGACCTGGTCCTGCAGTGTTCGATTCCTACTTGACTCACAGCCCATTACTCTACTCTACTCCCCTCCTCTCCTCTCCTCTCATAAACACGACGCCAAATCACAAAAAATGAGTTAGTGTGCTGCGTTTTAACACCACCAACCCACGACGTACCCTCCTTCGCTGGTCTCGTACGTGCTGGTCACGCCCTGGCTGGCAGTGAAATAGATGGAGCTGGAGCCGTTGGAGTCAGTGCGCTCCCTGTGGACAAGATGGCGCCGCCGACGTACCCGCTGACTGTCCTCCACTCCCTTTCTGAATGTGGGGGAGGAGGAACATACGTTCACATCAGTCAGATAATGCCAACTATCCGGCATCCTGTTGTAGCAGCTATGTGTTCAAATGCTGGTTTGTTTGAAAAGTGAGGAAGTTACTTTCCTTCTGACAACACTGACAGTGGTGTGTTTTTTATCTGATCTGTTTGGTATCTTACGGATACTGTACATCTCACCACTGTGACTTACTTGACATCCTGGATTATCTGCACCGCGATGTCCTGCAGGCCGCCCCTCAGCTCGGCCACCTCTGAGCGCAGCGAGGACACACAGGTGAGCACCTGGTCCAGCTGGTTCCTCAGCTCCAGCTGCCGCTCTGGGGACAGGCCCTGCACCGCCGCCGCCACCGCTGCCAGGGCCTGCTGCTGGGCCTCCACCTCTGGGGAAGGAGACCAAAAATGTTAGATGTGAGGGTTTGGACTTGCAATTTAATCCTCCGATCCCTAACCCTTCTCCCACTCCTCCAAACATGAACACCCATCCTCTGCTTATCAGGTTGTGGAGGCAGCAGGCTACCACGTCTTTCTCCCTAACGAGCCCCTTCTGACCAGATAGGAAATATAATCCAGTGTAACTTGAGGCTGTTCCTGCTTTCCTTCCAGTTCAATGCACCTAAACCACCTCAACTGTCTCCTTCCAACGCTGCTGCTTCTCACCAAATATTTAAGCTCATCTGTTGCCTCATAGAATTGCCACTAACCTGGGACCAGTTTGCCTTGGGTGGCCCTTTTAAAAGCAAATGCCCATTAAAAACAGCTCCCAGGACAACCTACACCCGGACTCCACCACCATAAGAGCAATTCAAACCCCTAAGGGAGCAGCAACTTTGGCACAAAGTGCGTACTGTTGCATGCATTATGCATTCTATTGGGACATCACATCTCATATTATGAGATAGTAAGTCATTATTATGAGATACTATCTTTTGACAGAAACCCACCCACCCTGAGCATCCAGCGTCTCCCGCAGCAGCAGCACCGCTTCTTCCTCCGCCCCGTCACACAGCCGTGGAGCTGACCGGGCCTCCAGCACCAGACTCCGGGATCTTCTCCTATCGATCTCCCGGTAAATCATAAAGGCGATCAAGCCACAACCGACTGTGGCTCCGACCGCGAGTCCAATCAACCCGCTCCTCCCGAGCGGCGTGTTCATCTCTTCGCACTCCGCAGATGCTGCTAGCACGTTAGCTTAGCCTCATTAGCATGTCACTGTTTGTGGCGTTCACTGGCTAATAAAGGTGACTGCAAAGGTAATTAGCTTGATGTTACAATTGTTCCTCTTGAGACTGAATCGAGTTTATATATAAAACATAACACACATTTTAAAGTGAAACGATACGAAAAGACGGTTTGTTTACACCGTAGCAAGGTGTGTGAACGTGTGTCAGTTAGCTGCAATGAATATGAAAATATATCACGTGACTAAATCACATTGCATCAGCACTGACGTCAACGAGGCTAGCGCGTGGGGAAAATAGCTTCCGGTTCCAACCTACAAAATAAAAGGTGTTGACAAGCGGCCTTCAGTGTTTTGATGTTTTACATCATAACAAGGTGTGTAAAATGTGTGTCGGCTAGCTGCAATGATGCAATGAAAATGTATAACATGACTACGTCACATTGCATCAGCACTGATGTCAAGATGGGAAAATAACTTCCGGTTCCAACCTACAAAATAAAAGGTGTTGACAAGTGAGGGTGCAACGTTTGGAAATCCATTTCCGTCCGGAATATGAATATGTAGAAAGTCGACATCATATAAATAAAAAATACAATTAAAAGAGTAAATTATGATATACTTAGACACAGATATGAGATGTTATGTCAAAATGATCAACCAAGACTGCTCCAGGTTGTCTGCTTGCAGCTACTTTGATTGATTACCAATGTGCCATTAAACTAAATTAAAGACTTTAATTCTTACTACATTCTTATCCAATCTTGAGGTCCTGATTCATAAAGGGGCCGCGTTTCAAAGTCCATGCTTTAATACCTTTAATGTTGCTGTTGATATTATGCCCACACATGGTGCACATTCTTAAACAGATCTGTGTTTAGTTAAATCATCACAAAACAACTGGCATCCAGCAAACCTGGGGCATGAGAATGTGTTGTGCCTCAACAGGGGAAGCTAATGTGTCCTCCAGCCCCCAAGTGGCTTAATCTGTCCCTGCAATGATTTTACCACCTATCATCTATGCCTGGGATGTTTATTTATGAATAGAAAGCCAATTGCTGATCACATGGTGTCTCAAATGATTTGCTATTCACCTGTAGTGTCTACAAAATGTCTGTAATTTATCTAAACATCTCTTTAAAGGACGTTCTCTCTAAATGAGGTTATTCTCAGACTCTGATCCACTTCAGTAGCTCCACATACACCAAACTTTACACTTTCATTCCTCTCTATATTCTGAAGGTTTTAACAGAGGATTTCTTTTCATTAATCAATCAGGATGAAACATGCTGGGAAGACTACATCCCCCATAATGCCTGGGAGTGGATGGGAGCCTCTGCTAAACCATGTTTATTCTGTGAACCTGACCCAGATATGCAAATATAGACAATGGACACAACTCTGTTTCTTTCTTCATGTTGCTACTGAAGCGTGCCAAGAATGTGTCCAATGGAAATAACAATGTCATGCAGGAAGCAGTGAAAATCCACATGACAGATACCTGCAGGGTGTCCCAATGAAAGTTCAGCACCGAGTCTAAATGATTTGAACACTTAAATCTGAGCTTAATTTATAAAAATGTAAATTTAGCATATCCTCTGGTCAATGAATGGGATATTACTGTTTTCCAAAAAGCCACAACCAAACCAAAGTGCCCTCATTTGGTAGTTGTGTGTAACGTTAAATAAGGCTGTGTTTGAAATCACAATGTAGAAACTGGGCAAGCTGATTTGGAAAACACTGAGAATGTCAGAACTTTTAAAAAGGGAATCTGTGAAATAAAATTCTCACAAATCTCTCTTTTTACTCATAAATCATTTACAATTGCGTATAACAAATACTGGACTAATCTATAGGGTGCTGCTGGAATGAGCCTTGAAAACCCTGAAATGAATCGGCACACTTTGACAATGATGATCAATGACTTAAATGAAACAAAGGTTCTGTGTGAGAACAATATTCCATGCAGTCAGACCAGTTTGGTGTATCAACAGACACGTAAGGCTTGGCTGCTCCTACTGCAGGAAATGCTTGAAGGCACAAGTGACCTGACCAGCTGCTTAGAGCCACGGGCCCTCAGATAACAAATGAAAACTATTTCCTTTATTTATTTGGCATAATCATTATTTATAGAGAATATTAACTGAACACAATGGACTGTTTGAAGGTGTAGAACTATTTCAGAGATGTATTATTGCCCTCACATAAGGTTGAGGATCTTCTGAGAGACAGATTTAAAAAGAATGTTTAAAAATTAAAGCAGCAGATCCTGACTTTTAGTTCCTAGTATGGTTTAAACTCCAAAAAGTACTGGATCCTACACTTACCATTATGCAACTCAATGGCATCTATTGTGGACGTAGTCATCATGACTTTAATCATTGATTTGTGGAGTACGGTTTTATTAAACAAGTTTTGAAGCGGAATTTCAGCATTTTGTCCGTCGCCATCTTGGTTTTTGAAACCAGAAGTGAGGCTCAGTACAACCGGACGCCGAATACAACATTTTTAAGCCACCAAAATGTTTATAAACTAAAAACACACTGAAAGGGTTTAATAAAGTTTTAAGACGGAACAGGGACAACCGTGCTGTGGTAGCGACCTGTCAATCACTGTGTAGCCCCGCCCCTACAGCATCCCCTGCTTTATGGTCTGTTTGACTCTAAATGGACTATAATTTACTAAATGAACATCATGCTGTATTGAAGAAGACTTGAAACTAGAGATTGAGACCATACATTTACTCAAGTTTACAATGTATTCGACACAGCACCTGTTAACAGTTTGTGCCCTCCTCCTCCTGTGTTTTGTCTCCGCCCTCTTTCTGATATAAACGAGCCGAACAGCATCCAGTCAGCGGGGTCTATCTCAGCCAGCCGTGGGTGAATACGCTGTCAACATGGCGGAGAGAGGCAGCGAGCAGCGGTAGAAGTGCTCCGTGTTCGTCCAGCTCTCTCAGGGTTGTTAGTGAAGGGACAAGTTTCGCTTTGCACATAAAAAAGCCACCAAACTGTCGTGGAAATGAGCCACGAATGAGGAAAGATGAGCCGACACGCAACAGGTAGGAGACACACAAAGTCTGCACGCGTCACCTTGTTTATCCTCCGTGATAACTCGTGTTATTTCCACTGTTACAGGTTATATTAAACGTGGGCAGTTTTAAAGTCTCCATCACTTCACTGAGCTGCTGCTCAACTTTGTTTTTCCTCTGTGAGGAATTTGCTGCGTCCGGTTTTTCCTCCAGTGGTCGTGTTGCAGAAATAACTGTTGAAACATTCTTGTTGCGGTTCCAGAGTTTTCAATAAAAAATAAATAATAATAATCATTTTCCACACCTATTTTTTTATTTTTATTTTTTCAGACTTCCACGAGTCGGTGCCTGCTGATCACGTGCTCAACTCTGCAGCCGTGTTATTCCCCGGTAGCTATTTAATCCTCCAATTAAAAATGTTTTAAATGCACAGTAATGAGGCTTATAATGAAGCTTGGCCAGGGATGAAAACTCCTAATTAAGACTTATAGAGCTCATTTAAGCCTTTAAGAGTTGCTGCATTGAAATGATAAATATTGACAATAATCATATAACAATGTTAAGCTTTGTTGACAAGATTGACTTATTTTTGTATTGAATTAAGTGCAACTTAACTTGTTATCTGTCCGTACAGGTGCGTTTGATCAACATGGCTGCCCTCTGATCGTGTTCCCTGCAGACGAACAAGCCAAACTCTCCTCAGAACTCTGCAAAGCAGAAGTGGTGGACTTCATAAATTACTTTCTGTGTCTGCACAAGTAGGTGGAGTCGTGAGGCTTGTTGTGAGTGTGTGTCTGTGTGTGAGAGATGTAATGATGGATGGATTTGTTCTCTCTCCACAGTAAGAAGCAGGAGAAGGAGAGTTTGGTGTCGGTGGTGGCCGATCTGAGGCACGCCTCGCTCCCGACGACCAGGTTCGTCGCCGAGACGCTGCTCCTGCTTGAGGTACTGTCCCGGCCGAGTACGCTGCTGTGGATACAAACCACATAAAGAATATGTGCTGAGTGGATATACCACAGCAACCCTCTGTATCAATGCATAAAAAAAAACCTTGATTGCAGTAGTATAACCTGTGTGCTTCACGCTGCAACAGTGCAACGTGTTTTTCTAAAGATTCCCTGACATTGTCAGTCTAAAAACAAGACCATCCACAGTAACTACATATCCATGATGAGCCAACAGCACCACTGTCCGTTAGGATTAAAGGTTGCCTCTGGAGTTTCAGTTATGAAGCATTTTTCTCCATGAGTGCGTCCTTGTTATCTTGTGCACACATGAGGATGCACATGATGTGGTACTACACACACTAGAATCGATTACAGCGGCAGGGGCCAAGATGGGGACGAAGACTCGTCAGCCAGTAAACATGGATGTAAACAGTGCTGGATTTTCAAACGCGCATCAGCTCCCTCTTGTCTCTCACGGGCCTGCAGCTTGTGTTTGTATTCAGGATATTTTACATACGCTGCACTAATTGAGCAGTTATGTTCTGCCCATTTACTCACTACTGATGCCTAACAAAGTATTTCTATATCTCCGCCGGGAGATAGTGAGATCGGTCACGTGTGTGTGTGTCTCCGTGTCTGTCCTAGGCTAAATCGCGCATTCATGGTGGCACGCTCAAGGACCTCCTTTTTTTTTTTTCTTTTTTTTTTTTAACAGCCTGTTGGATATTTGATTACAATTGTTCTGAAGACAAAGACAGATTGTGGAATGTAATTTGCTTTTAAAGGCGGAATATCGTGGAATTTTCCAAAATGTTTCCTCTTGGTCATCAAAAAAAAACACGCAGGAATTGGACACTTATTTAAATTTAGAGCACCTTGTTTTCCAATAGGACGTGTTTTTTTGTTTTTTTTAAATCTTTAATCACTTTCTTTAATAGAAAACAATAGTACAAAATGATAGTACATTTTTTATTAATATTTTCTTGTGAATTGTTGCAATTGTATTCATCCACCGCATGATTAGACAATGATGAGAAAATGTACGTAACTCACAGCCCCATAACGAGCTAAATGTTGTCTTCACAGTAAACAACTTTAGTTGGCTTCAGACAATAAAAATACTAAGTTAGAGATCTTCTGTCACTGAAGTACGCAAGTTACGTGACAAATAAATGAACGCTGACTGCTTGTTTCATGTGGGAAACGAACCGCGGTCTCCTGACTGAAAGATTGCCGTTTGTTGGATCAGTGCTGGATTCATTTCAGCTTTAGATATGTTATTTCCTCTGGGCAGATAAAAGTCCAACTTCAACCGCAGAACTGAATTAGGGCCGAGAAGACTGTCCCATCCTGAAGAGAGCATTCCTCTCTGCTGCAGAAAAGATGGAAGACCAGTGTTTGTTTTCATTTAAGTGAAAGTATTGTACATGTACGTACAGATCTTTTGTGAAACTGTAGCTTGGTGTTTCTGCAGTTGGCTCTGTATGAATTATGCATGAGGGTTCTCTCTGCACACTGTGCGGTGACGCACTCACCTTGTGATTGCCCTCTTGACTAGCGGAGCTCTTTCTTGCAGCATTTAAGTTATGCAACATTTGCATTCTAGATTCAAAGAGCTGTGGTCTGAGCTGTTCTTCAAAGTACAATACCAAGTGTGTAAAGCATGTGGTGGTTATAGTAGAAGTCCTGTGTGTGTGGAGAAGGGGGCGGGGGTCACATGCATTGCTGGTCACATGCTTGTTTTTTTAATAGAAACGCCTCAGTGAAATTACATTAAATGAGCACGCTTATGTCGGGCTGCTGCCTTTTCTCACCCAGATCAACTGTCCTCCACTCGAGAAGGAAACTAGAGTGTTCTAGTTTCTGAGGTCTTAGCTGCTGGCCTGATGTCAGCATGCACACGGACTTGTTTAAACATTTTATTTTGTAATAACAAACTGCTGGGATTCGGGGGGAAAAAACCTGATTTATGATTACCTTCTGTCTTGTGTGTGGTGATCCGTGCAATCTTGATGTGATTGATTAACAAGCTAACAGATACGCAGCCATCACGCTGGGCTGTGAGGCAGCGGCCCTGAAGCCCCTGACTACCAAATGGCCCCAAAAGTTGCACTTTTTACTGAATGTCGATGGGTTTTGGTAATTTTATTTACTGTATTTTTGTACCAGGCAGCAACCCTCGGCTCAAGCCAATGCTGAAGTGTCTTAAACCATTCTCTCTAGTGTCCACCAGGGGCGACTCCTCTGGTTGTATAGAAGTCTATGAGAAAATGACTCTACTTCTCTCTTGATTTATTACCTCAGTAAACATGAGTTTATGGTCTCAATCTCTAGTTTCAAGTCTTCTTCAATACAGCATGATGTTCATTTAGTAACTTATGGTCCATTTAGAGTCAAACAGACCATAAAGCAGGGGATGCTTTAGGGCGGGGCTACACAGTGATTGACAGGTCTCTACCAGAGTCGTATATACGGCATCTCTACGTCACTCCTCCGCAGTCCAAATACGGTCACTTCCTGTTCATTGGCTGCAAAAAACCAAGATGGTGACGGCCAAAAAGCCAAACTTGAGGCTTCAAAACGGCAGTCCACAAACCAATGGGTGACGTCACGACGATTACGTCCACTACTTGGACCATGGTTGGAATTGCAGCTCTCGTGGGGCCCACTGACTCACAAACTTTCTCTTTTCCAATTAACATCATTTACAAAAGGAAATGTTAAGGAATTTTTTTGAGCATCACAAACTGTGGCTTTCTTTTCTAGCGGCACAAGCGGACCGTCCACAGTGTGTACATAATTCAGCCCAAAAAGAAGGAAGCTGTCAAGCTGTTGCTGAAACTCCTGGCTCCGTCAAAGTCTCTCATGGCCTCTTTCAAGGTGAGTGAAACGACGCACACTGTACTCTTTGTGGTTTGTTGACTTCAGGACGTAACGCCGCTCTCTTCTCTGTTGCAGAAAGTGCTTCTTAAAGAAATCCCAGAGCTCTCCAACTACATTGACCGAAGCCAGCTCACGGCATCGTTGGGCGGCTACCTGGTTTACTGTCACCAGAGCTGGGTGGCCTTCATCAAGGTAATCTTTGCACTCGGTTCATCGACCAGTAGGCGGAAAAGCCCCCTCATTTGCATAATGAAGCAGAAATGCTTTTAAGGAAAATGAATGCATAAATTAATTAATACATTTAATAATGCATACATTTTTTTCAGCAAAGTTAATGAAAATGAGATGAGTAGATATGTGAATTAATACAAACGCAAGTCAATCAATTTAAAACAGAAATATCAATTTACCACATTTCTTTTCACTGATTAATGCTTAAATTTGTTTTTGTGGTACATTTAATGGCATATTGATTTATCTACAGTTGTGTGAAAAAGTGTTTTCCCCCTGCCTGATTTCTTATTTTTTTGCATGTTTGTCACACTTAAATGTTTCAGATCATCAAACAAATTTAAATATTAGACAAAGGTAACACAAGTAAACACAAAATGCAGTTTTTAAATGAAGGTTTTTATTATTAAGGGGGGAAAAAAAATCCAAACCTACATGGCCCTGTGTGAAAAAGTGATTGCCCCCCCCCCCCTGTTAAAACATAAATTAACTGGTTTATCACATCTTTGGAAAGCTGAGTTCAATTTCTCTAGCCACACCCAGGCCTGATTACTGCCACACCTGTTCTCAATCAAGAAATCACTTAAATAGGACCTGCCTGACAAAGTGAGGTAGACCAAAAGATCCTCAAAAGCTAGACATCATGCTGCGATCCAAAGAAATTCAGGAACAAATGAGAAACAAAGTAATTGAGATCTATCAGTCTGGAAAAGGTTACAAAGCCATTTCTAAAGCTTTGGGACTCCAGAGAACCACAGTGAGAGCCATTATCCACAAATGGTGAAAACATGGAACAGTGGTGAACCTTCCCAGGAGTGGCCGGCCGACCAAAATTACCCCAAGAGCGCAGCGACGACTCATCCAAGAGGTCACAAAAGACCCCAGAACAACATCCAAAGAACTGCAGGCCTCACTTGCCTCAATTAAGGTCAGTGTTCATGACTCCACCATAAGAAAGAGACTGGGCAAAAATGGCCTGCATGGCAGAGTTCCAAGACGAAAACCACTGCTGAGCAAAAAGAACATAAAGGCTCGTCTCAGTTTTGCCAGAAAACATCTTAATGATCCCCAAGACTTTTGGGAAAATACTCTGTGGACTGACGAGACAAAAGTTGAACTTTTTGGAAGGTGTATGTCCCGTTACATCTGGCGTAACAGTAACACGGCATTTCAGAAAAGGAACATCATACCAACAGTAAAATATGGTGGTGGTAGTGTGATAGTCTGGGGCTGTTTTGCTGCTTCAGGACCTGGAAGACTTGCTGTGGTAAATGGAACCATGAATTCTGCTGTCTACCAAAGAATCCTGAAGGAGAATGTCCGGCCATCTGTTCGTGACCTCAAGCTGAAGCGCACTTGGGTTCTGCAGCAGGACAATGATCCAAAACACACCAGCAAGTCCACCTCTGAATGGCTTAAGAAAAACAAAATGAAGACTTTGGAGTGGCCTCGTCAAAGTCCCGACCTGAATCCGATTGAGATGCTGTGGCATGACCTTGAAAAGGCGGTTCAGGCTCGAAAACCCTCCAATGTGGCTGAATTACAACAATTCTGCAAAGATGAGTGGGCCAAAATTCCTCTACAGCGCTGTAAAAGACTCATTGCCAGTTATCGCAAACGCTTGATTGCAGTTGTTGCTGCTAAGGGTGGCCCAACCAGTTATTAGGTTTAGGGGGCGATCACTTTTTCACACAGGGCCATGTAGGTTTGGATTTTTTTTCCCCCTTAATAATAAAAACCTTCATTTAAAAACTGCATTTTGTGTTTACTTGTGTTATCTTTGTCTAATATTTAAACTTGTTTGATGATCTGAAACATTTAAGTGTGACAAACATGCAAAAAAATAGGAAATCATGAAGGGGGCAAACACTTTTTCACACAACTGTATACATGATTTTGGGAGGTGTTCTCCATAGAAAACGTGTTGCAAATCAAGCGTCAGACGTTAACAATGCGGCTGTCTTAAGGGGTCAAAGATTTAAAAATTATGACCATCTTAAAATAAATTAATAAAAAGACATGTATAAGTTATTTTTTGACTTTGATGTAGGACTCTTACTGATCGCCCTTAATTTGATTGAAGAGGTTTTGATTGAGGTGGTATCTGCATCCTTATTCTGTATTAACTTGGCACAAACACCCTACATTATGTTCATAACACAGATGATGATAGTATTTAGTAAATGCATGCAGTAAATTAGAATCTCTCCCTTCTGGTTGTGAAACGCGTGTTCGGGTATCTTGAGTGAATCAAAGCAAGTCTTATGAATCGGTCTTGTGATCAGTCACACTGTTTAACACAAAGTAACATTGTGCTGCTGTCCCCGGCAGCGGTTTGTGTTCACACACATACACACTGCGTTGTTCCGCTGACGTCTGAAGTGGCTCACAAACCGACCTGTTTACGATGCCGCAGCCAAAATATTTATTCCAACTAGTGCTGCTTTGTGATGGAGAGCGTGCTCGGGCTCGCTCGGTCAGGAGATGTTTTCATGTGTGAATCCATTCATGAGAGCCGTCCAAGCGGCCGGCGTCTATTGTCGTGTTACCTTGGTGAAGCTTGAGCAAATGCATCGTGTGGTCAGCTGACCTTATTAGCAAGTGAAAGGAGCATGCCCCCCCCCCCCTCCCCCAGCCCCCCCCCCCCCCCCCCATCTCTTCGCTGCCGCATCGCAAACAGGTCCGTTCCCCCCCC